ACATAAATACTATATAATAATGGATAAGTAATATTAGACAAGAAAATAATAATCATAATAATAAAATAATGATAATAATAATAATAACAATAATAATAATATTAAGCATGAGTAAGAGCAATTATTTATAGATACCAATAATTAAAGACAAATAAAATAATAAATAATGGGTATAAAAGGCTAATACGAGATGTCGGAGGATTTGAATAAAAATAATGATAAAAAGGTCTGCCAGAGTTCCAGACAAAGGTAGTAGAATGTACAGATGAACAAAAAAAAGGGAAATGTTCCAGTGCCAGCCAAAGAACACAATTAATTCTTCATTAAATGGTCGGGCCTAATATGCGAAGAATAGAAGAGGCCGTGAATATTGGCGCTGTCATGATCCAGAGATCAAAGTTTGAGTTGAACTCCTCGAAGAACTTTTCATGCTGCTAAGACTCCGGTCCCATCCCTGAATCTACCTAGCTTGATAAAAGAAAACTATGAATTTCCCTTAAGTTGTCATCTATAGGTTGTTATATAGGCCAAATACGGATTCGTTTACTGAACTGTATTGCGCCCTCTAGGGCGACTACGTGGCGCATCCCACATCGGTCAATTATAGTAACCTTCAAAGCAAAGTGAGTTTNTTTTCATGTGGGAAACAAAGAATGCGTGCAAGCTAAAATGCTAACATCCTGAGCTGTGTGGTTTAATGTAGAATCTTCTATCAACCAGAAATCATCATTTCGCCTCTGAAACTGTAAGGGCTGGTAAAAATGTGAATTTGCCGAAAAAAAAAGGCAAGAAACAAACCCCTCAGACCCCAGAACGCTTCTAGGACATCTATATAGAGCATGTTTCGATTAAAAAGATAAAATCGCTCCCTTGTTCATGGACTGGAATTCAAGAAAGTGCATTGGTTGAACAAACTTCGAAATTCCGTCACGGTGATAAATAGGTGTGGAAATAAAATACGCGGCGCATCCGGGAAAATGTGATACGTTAACGACAAGTAGTTTATTCCCCTGGGTCCACTAAAAAAAACACGGAATACTGTCTGAAAGCTGCAGAATTTTCAGCTTTTTTCGTTTTTATTGTAAGCTGGATGTTGCCATTGGACACGTAAACATTGCAGATTTATTTATTTACTGTTCATCTATTTGTGCCAAAAAATTTTCCAGGGCACTATCAAACACATAAAGCGATATAGTATAATAGTGTATGATGATTTATAGGATTAAAATTACACTAAATATTGGTAATTTCGTTGTAAAAAAATGGCATTTTGCCAATTATCTACATTTTTAAGAAATGGATGGTGCATAGGATAACAATGTGGCCACTGGAAAGTGGTGACTGCATCTGAAGAGCCCTCAAGGAAAAACCTAAGATCTATCTAGGAAAATAAAACCAGGGAGCCGATCGTAAGACTCTTTCGGACGGTGAGAATAGTCACGAAAATATCGATTTCTGACCGATAAGCAATTTAGGGTCAATAAATGATCATGTGGCGAAATTACGGATGTGGTGGCGGTTAAGGGAACCTAACGAACCGTCCGGAATTGCAATCTCCCCTTAGAATCGACAGGTTCAATTCAATTTTTGAATAGAAAAATGGATAGAATAAAAATTCTGCCTGATATCAAGTAGAGAAGAAGGAAAGGAATAATTGAGGAATACCATGGAGAAAAATGTCTCCCGGTTCAACTGGACGACCACCCACATGATAACAGAAAGGCTAATCTGTTAGGGCATATGGGAGCTGTTGGTCGGTGTTGTTGTCCGATTGGAAAGGCGCTATATAGCACATGGTCAAACATAATTGACGCCTCAGCCGATTGCCATTGGAATGGATATTGGAGGTTGAATGGGGCAAGAATAAAACAGCGCACCGTTCTGTTGTCAGGCTCAGGATGCCATTTCGTACAATAATGATAAGTATGGCCGATTTTTCCGGTATAAGCTATTGTGCCCCTAAAGTAAATGGCCACAGGATAGGTTAGATTAGGTAGAAGCAATAAAGGTAAGCCATGTGGCATGTAGACATAAGTTTATTTGGAGGGGCATAAAAATTGTCATCTATCCTCATTCTTTTGAGAAAGCAGCGGAAATGGTTGGTAGGCTTATTGGATTACAACGGGAATTTCGGGCAAAATGGACTGCAGGAGAGTTTAATCCTTTCATTTTTCTTCCAAGAAAAATTTTCTTCCCCTATAGATGCTAAAAATTGAGAACATTTTTAATTTGTAGCTCCTTGTGCTAAATATATACGTCGTTAACAGCCGAGTACTGAAGCATTTACATAGAAACATCTTCAAACAAAGCGATAACGCTGCTTTCAACCGATCCAGATTGTGCCATGCATGCGATTTTTATCTGGAAACGTAATATAATGGGTAGTCTTTTGTCAAAGAATGATAGTGACATTTATTAGATCCCTTATACCCCTCCCGGAAGGAATTCCATTTTTTCTTCAAGTAGCTCAGATTTCTGTAGAAAAAGCTCTTAAAGTCTCCATTATTTCTAGGTGGGACCCAAGACGATTTCGTTTTCTCCGCTCTACCATACCTCAGTTTTATGGTATCGATCAAACTAGTGAGCTTCTTAGGAGGTGAGTATTTCGCAGAACTTCAGATGGAAAAAAATTTGTAGCCAGGATCCGTCGTCTGATTCTAAATTGCAGATGCAAAGTTCTATTCGTGGGAAAAACGCTTTCCTCGTGACCGACGACGTAGTTCTTTCTCACGAACACAAAGATCAGTAACCAAAAACAGTTACCTCCTGATCGCAGACTCTTCTATCACTCTCATCAGTCATCAGGGTGTAAGTTCTTTCTGGCAGCGTTACCTCTTGAATTTTGATAACGAAGTGCTTCCATGGAGTGGGGAAGTCGTACCACAGCTCGTCTTCGGTGCATCTACTTTTTTAAGGGGTCCTAGTTAGCCATTTGGCTAGCCATCGACGCAAACCAAACTGGGATCAACTAAAGGGCCTGTAAAGACAGATGTGGCGACAGGACATGGTCTTTAACCCAGGCCCTCGTTTCTCTAATGCTCATCTTATAATCAATAGCTGTCTTTTAAGAGAAATAAGCAGTTTTTCAGAAAGCACTTGGCTGCAATGTCCGGTGGACTGGATCCGTTTTTGCTTCCACTCACGTTTATCTTTTTCACTGCTTCGACAATAGGAATCGTGGGCAACACTATTATGATTATAGTAACCTTCAAAGCAAAGTGAGTTTATGATTGGTCTCAATAAAAACAGTAATAAATATTAGGTAATAACAAACCGAGTGTCTGGGCCATTTTTAACAAGAGGTTTCGACAGTAGAACTTTTGAAAACTTTGATCCTCCTGAAGTGGACCAAATCCATTTCTGGGGATTGACGATTCCAAAAATGATACTGAGAAATGAGAAATGATTACTGGTATAGACCACTATCAACATTTTCTTTATCTTGGCATAAGTTTGGACATGTGTATGCATTGGATCCAGCCTATTGGCTCCACTCGGGATGAGAGAGTTAAATTCCTGCTTTTAAAACTTCCTACCCTCCGCACCACCCAAATATCAGAAGTTGGAGAATAT